AATCCCAAATACTAGTAATTTGGGATTTTGGCGTCCCAAATCCCAAATGATTTGGGATTTGGGCAACACGTATAGCAGAAGCTTCAATTTTATCTGAGGTACATATTTTATCTATTATCCTTTATTCTGATACAACTACTACTGATTCATTAGGAAAAAGCTCATTGCACCTTATTTATATATCTCTCAAAAATATTTAAACTTGGAGAAGAAATAAAAAAGATATTAAAAAATTATTGGGATATCTTTCAATTTTATCTGCCAATAATAAAACTGAAAGATAATCTTTTAGATTTAATTAGTACATAAAACTTTTCACAATTCTATAAAATTTCTACTAAATCTTTTGTTTAATAAAGAAAATAATATTAATTTTAAAATTAATAACAAAAACACCTGGTTCTTTTCAAGAATTTCTACTGTAATCAGTGATTGGCTAGAAGCCTATACATTTTCATTAACTTTTAAATTGACAAATTCAAATTATTTTTGTTATTTTTGCCTAATATATAAAGATAGTTTAGTAAATATAAGAAAAGATTCCATAATAATTTGTAATAAAGAAAATATGTAGGAATATTACAATAATGTTTCTGTTGCTAGTATTAGTCTGGAACAAGTTTATAACTACTTTTGAACTATTCTGTAAGTGTCTTTTAAAATATTTCATTTAAATTTTATGCATATCTAACTGACACTAATCTTTTTTATTTTAGAAATATAAATATTTATGTAGCTACAGTTCCTGATAGGATGCATCAATTGGATTTAAGCCTATTTTATTATCAAATAGAATATACTAAAAATTTATTAAATTCTGGAGGAAAATTATTAGTAAACAAAATGGATCAGCGAATTGCAATGATATTAAGATACCCATAATTATATACTTTAATAATAGATTGCATTGTCATTACCATCTTGATATATAATAGTTGACATGTAGTTAGACAACAGAAATCGATTATGATTATCAAATTGACATATAATAGTTGATATGATAATGGTGATCAACTTTTGTCATCAGACCACATGATAATAATAGTTAATTTCTGTTATCAGACAATAGACAATTCATAAATTAAGTTAAACTTTTTTATAATATATATATATTATGAACCAGCTCATAATATATAACTTAATAATAAAAATCAGTTATATTATCAATTCAATATATAATAGTTTAAGTAAAGTTTGATAACAAAAGTTAACTACTGTCATTATGTGATCTGATAACAAAAATTGGCTACCATTGTTATGTAGATGAGAATAACTTAAACTAAGTTGAAACAACATAATTATGTTGTTTTCACTAATCCTATAATCATCTTGACTATAACCATTCTATATGAAATTTAGTAACAATTTACTATATAGATCACCTGTTTACACAAAATTGAAATTATTAATTTGATATTAAAAACATCTTCAAATCTCAAGAATTAAAATGAACCTATTAACTATTATTCTAAAATCTCTTATTCAGCTTGTAGAATTTTTGAAGACAAAAAGTCTAGTATTGTAGTATTTTCATGAGGTACTATATAGAAAATATATTTTATGAAGTTTACTGTATTGTCTTTGAACTGATAATATTAATATTAAAAAAAAAAATTTAGCCATTATTATGAAACTTAAAATTATCTTAGTAAAAATCATTTCTCATTGTATTAAATTGATCTGAAATAATGTATAACCTTTGAACAAAACCTTAACTGGACTTTAAACTTAAGAACCCATGAATTGGCTTTTTCAAATTTGTAAATTTATCTTTATCTATGATAAGCTTTAATTGGATAAATTTGTTTTAAAAAGCAAAAATGGTAATTTTTCATCTTACACTTTTACTCCAAATATAAACTTGGGGTGTTACATGTGATCTGCGCTTTGATACTTTAATCATTGAACAGACATAACACATAACAAAGTGGTAACATTGAAATTACGCCAAATCACATGATCCCTAATCATCGTAGCATAATTACTACTAGTCAATTTTCATTTGCTTATTTATAATTTTATTTTTTTAAAAAAAATCAAAATTTGAAATTTTTGCAGTAAAGTATAATAAAACAATAGAGAAGGTGTTCTTGCAACCAATAATTAGTGAGAATGTATTCCGCTCGCGGTGCCCCTCCACCAATTCCTCCAAAACCTAACAGTCAAGAGAGAAATAAAGAAAATAACAACATCGATCAATTATTGACTTTACTAGATTCTGAATCGCAGTTCTCAAATAATCCTCCATGTTCGTCGAATTCAATTTCACATACTTCCAATCCAGTTGCTTTTCCGCAGCCTTACCCACAACAAACCGGACAAAATTATTATAACAGTGGTCCGATGCCTCAAGTTTATAGTAGTGGACAAGGTTACTACCAAGAAAACACCGGATATTACACAAATTATCAAGGTTGGCCTTCCCAAAATAATTATCAAATGCCACCTTCGAATCAACATATTCCCACGATTCATAATCAACATGGTTATACTCAATATCCGGGAAATAATGGAAACACAACCTACACACCACCAAATACAAATTCAAATGTTAGGGCAGAATATTCCGGCGGAAGTAACGGAAAGAACGGAACTAATTTAAGCACAACCTACACACCATCAGGAACTAATTTAAGCACACCCTACACACCATCAGGAACTAATTCAGGCACAACCTATACACCATCAAATGCGAATTCAATTGTTATGCCAGATTTTCATTCTTATAATGCAGGGTCCTCCTCAAACTTACAACAAAATAATAAATCGAACTATATGCCACAACCGCCTAAGAATAATTCTTATTCGTATGAACCTTATAATGCACATCCGATTGATCAGAGCTATACGAGTTATAATAGGTTAATTTAATGAAAAAAACTTTTTTTTTTAGAAGTTTCCAAATTAACAAACAAAAATAAATTTATTATTTAGTGAAAAAAAGGTTCCGGCTCTTGATTATCCTTCTCCTAATTTAAAATCCAGAGAACCCCCGTGGATGCCTGATTATTCAGTGCCTAGTGGGATGCCAATAAAAGACAAAAAGTCATATTTAGATGAGAAAAAACCAGCTTTACTGTCCTACATAGCGTTAGCATTTAATGCTAATATAAAATTAGGTACCCACGTGAAAGGTGCATTAGAATACCCGGATAGTTTTACGGGGAAAGATGCAGTGGTATTTATAGATTTTAATAATCAAATCACTTGTGATCATTTATTCTTTCCATTTTTATTAAATAATTTATTATTATGTTATACTAGAGCACAATTTATGCCCTTCTTCCGGATAACATTCCTCGGCTTGTTGCTTTATCAATGGCACGTTCATTGGAAGCTCAGCTTTATTTTCATTCAATCAATTGGGCCACTATTACTGTAATAAAAGATACGGAGGATGAAGTGTATGCATTTCTTAATTCAGAAAATGATTCTACAGAATGGGATGAAGATTTTCCTACAGGTGTCTTTCCTATGGTCTCAAAATGCTATAGTCCTCGATGTGGAATTGATGGCAAAAGTTGTTATTCTCGAACTTGCATCAATTATGTTCCAGGCGTGGTAATGCTTAATAATCTAAATCAGTTTTTTTTAGTTATATTAATTTTAAATGAATCAATACTTTAATTTCATGATATATTTTGTTTATGTTATAGGATGAAACACCACCTCCACCACCTGTTGAACCTTTATTGAGTCCACAAATTAGTGTTGCTTCCGTACCTGATTCTACGTCGGTAGGTAGTTATAGACTTAGTAATCCACAGTGTAATACTGATTGCTAATTAGGGTTTAAAAAATTTTAAGTCGCAAGCATCACAGGAACAGGGTCGTACGTGGATTGGTTCAGTTCCAAAAGAAATTTTAGATTCCCTCGATAAAGAAGAAAGAAAGCGTCAAGAAATTATTTTCGAAACTATTTATACTGAAGAGGATTACGTTAAGGATTTGGATCTTCTTGATACGGTATGCGTTAATGCATTTGATTTTCGTATTGATAAATCTGACACTTGAATTTCTTCTTATAATTAATATTAATAATTTTTTTTTTTATTTTATTAAAGCTTTTTATGAAAGGGCTTCGTGAATCAGTCCCCCCAATTATACAACCTGCTCAGCTTGAAGAATTTATTCAAGCAGTGTTTTTTAATGTATTTAAAATTCGTACACATAATCATAAAATGCTCGAACGCTTACGGAAGAGACAAAAGGAAAGTCATGTGGTTGAAAGCATTGGTGATATTTTTTGTGACAGTGCTATGGAATTTGGAACAGATTACATTGATTACAACGGGCATTTTCCTATCGCTGACAATACAATTAGGAATGCCAAGCAAAAAAATTCTGCGTTCAAACGTTTCCTTGAGGTAATTGGGATATTCTTTAAATCATTTCATTTGTTTTCTGTTATTTTTTTTTTATATTTTTGTTCGCATAATAATATTATATTCTCATTACATGTAAATGTAGCAATGTTCGCGAAATAAAGAAGCTCGAAAGCTTGACTTCAGACATTTTGTACAACGTCCTACCCAAAGGCTACAACGGTACACATTATTACTTGAACAGATCATAAAGCATACATCTGATGCTAATCCGGATAAAGGACTTCTTGAGGGTGCATTACAAACTATTCGTGAACTTTGCAAAGCAAGCGATAATAGAGTACACGAAGTAGTACAACGATCGAAAATACTTGAAATTGAGAAGAGATTGGTGAATAAGAACGGAGAACCTTGTGTATGGATCATCAATAAATAATTCTTGCTGAATAATTAAATATTCAAGTATTCTAATAATTTTGATAAATTATATAAATTTTTGTAATTTTGTAACTTTGCAATTTAGACCGCTCTCAAGCTTATGGATATAAATCGACAGTTATTACATGAAGGTGAATTACACAAGAAGTCGGGATTAGAAATGCTAAGTCTTCACGTGATTCTTTTTGATCATTACTTGGTCATGACTAAAGTAAAGAAAACTCCTGATGGAGATATAAGATACATTGTTTCAAAGAAGGTAAATCTAATGCTAAAATTTACAATATTTATATATTCTTATTATACAATACATACAACTCAAATTATTATATTATTATAACTTTTAAAGCCTATTCCCTTAGAAATGCTTATAGTTGATTTGTCCGTTGAAAGTGCTGCAAGGACTGGGACAACATTTCATCTCCCTATTGGACAACGTGATTCGGCGCGACGGAAAGTAAGTAATTCAAGTTACAGGGATCAACAATTCGTTACAGATTTGGAAAAAACAGATGGTAGAGCAAATAATCCATTTACAATCCATCATATTGGACGAAATGGACAACAATATCAATTATTTGCCGATTCCGCAAATAATAGAAAGAATTGGAAAGAAAAAATACTTGAAGCTCAGACTAAGCTTCAATTAAACAAATCGAATTCTCAAGTATTTGAATTGTTTACATTGAATGATGTTACATTTGGAACTGAAGTTAGGTCAGGAACTTCTGGGTCCAGAGTGAAAATTACGTGTTCCGTGGCTTTTGGTATATATATATATATTTTGTTAATTTATTTTCTTCACCCATTGAATTTATACGTTGATTTGCTCGTTGAGTTTTATGCATTTAATTTAGGGTATTTGCTAAAGTTCACCACTGGTGATTATCACCACTAGACAAAATTACATAATTTCTTGATCAACCCTAAAACTTTGCACACGTAAATTTAATTTTGCTCAGTGGTAAAAATCACCAATGGTGAACTTAAGCAATTTCTTTAATTTATACGTTGAATTTGTGGTTGAAATTTTTTTATGCATTTAAATTTATTACATTGAATTTATACAGTTACTCCAGAAAAACGTAATATGGTTGCCATAGGAACTGAAGAAGGAGTATGGATGGGATTTGGAGGAGAAATGAAGACATTCCAAAAAGTGTTGACTATTGGTAATGTATCGCAGATGGCAGTACTTGAAGATTATGGAATATTTATTGTATTAGTTGGTAAGTAATGAATGGTAAAGAAAAAATCTTAGCAGTTTCTTTTATATATATTAATATAAAATTGCTTAAAAATATTTGATTATTTAATTTTTATATAGATAGAGCACTTTGGGCATATTCATTAGAAGCTTTAATACCATCTTCACCTGGCAGAAGTCCTAATGTTCAAGCAACACGACAACGATTGTGTGCCAATAGTAATGTTCAATATTTCAATGTCGGCACAGTGAAAGACAAAACGTTATTAGTTTACATGAAGAAAAAAGGTTTAGATAGTCATTTCAAGGCTTTAGAACCAGTAGTTGCTGTTAATGCACTACATGAAAAATCTAAGGGATCCCGTAAAGCATTTGGAGGTCTTCTTTCTTCAAGAAACGAATGGTTTCGGGAATATAGGGTAATTTAATTATCATTATTTTGATATGTAATTTAATTTAAATTAAATTTTTGAAATTTTTTTTTTTGATTTATTTATTTCTTTCTTTCGAATTTTAGCAATATTATATCCCATCCGAGTCGTACTCTGTAAATTTCTTGAGATCTAAATTATGTGTAGTTTGTACTCGTGGATTTGAAATTGTGAATTTGGATACTCTTCAAAATGGAACCATACCAGATTTTGCATTACCTTCATTCTCACAAATTGCACGGAAATGTGATGGATCCAAACCTTTAGGAATGTTTCGACTTAGCGATAATGAATTTCTTTTATGTTATGACGGTATTTTGATTTCTCATTTATGAATTCGATAGTCGTTATTTTTTTTAAATGAACAATATTTAACTGTTTTATTATTATCTATTTATATTCAGCAATTTTCTTTTATGTTGATAAACATGGTGAATTATCACGAGATTTGGTAGTAGAATGGGAAGGTCATCCTGAGGCAGTTGGTATGTTTTGGTTTTCAGAATTCGCATATTTTAATTTTATTCTTCATGTTTTTTAAAAGTTATAATATTAATCACTTCTTTTTTGTAAAATATATAGCATTGCAAATTCCATATGTCATAGGATTTAATTCCTCGTTCATAGAGATTAGAGACGTTGATAAGGTTTGTGAGAAAATATTTAAAATTTTGATAATTTTAAAATATTAAATATTTCCTTGACCTAATTTTTTAATAATAATTTATATAGGGTGATCTTATACAAGTGATACCTGGTAAAGGCATGCGTTGTTTAAATGATAATTCTTCAGGTAAACAAGCAATTCACGCAGTTATGCTGCATCCATTTAATGATGCGTATTACATATTCCAATTGGTGCTTTCAGAATTACGAAGAAAAGAACATAAAGAAATTTTAGCAAATAAATAATATTTGATAGTTCAATTTTGTATTGTATATTTATTTTCCTGGTATATCCGTTTATTATATAGTTTTTTTTATTAGTTAGTTTTATTTTATCAATCTACTTTTTTGATCATCCTCCATTTTATATCATCTCTACTTTTAAATCTGTATTATATAGTAGGAATTTTTAGGTAAAAAAAAAAAAAAGGAAGTTGATATAATTATTTATTGAATTGAATTGTAATAACATTTGATACATATACATATATATATATAATTTAGTATTTATATTATTATTATTTGAATTAAGTATTTATTCTATTTTCATATTAAATTATTAACTTTATGTTATGTTTGTTGTTTATCACTTTAAGCAAAAAGAAATTTGCTTTATTTTAAATAATGCGATATTTTTTTTTTTTTGAATTATGACTAGAGATGATTTTGAAAAAAAATAAAAAATAATAATAATAATTAAAAATATAATAAAAAAAATGAAAAAAAAAATAATATAATAATTATAACAAAAGCATATATAGAATACATTTGTAAAAAAAAAAAAAAAAAATACAAAAAAATACATGAAAAAAAAAAACAAAAAAAAAAAAGTCAATCCCAAAATATAGAAAATATTATTTTAATTTTAATCGTAATTATTGTAATTGTAATTATTGTGATTATTGAGATTATTGTGATCCTCAAATCCCGTAGCTGAAATACTTGTTGCTTCCGACTGTAAAGAACCTCGTCTTCCATTAACAAGTTTCAGAGTAAATACCTCTGAACTATCAGTTACAGGATCATTTGTGGCGACAACAATGTTTCCATGTGAATCAGAGTAAAGACAGCGCATATTATGGCCTTCAATAATTTGTTCTAGTAAACCTGTCTCGACGTTACGTACCTCGATAAAGGAAGGCTCGAAGGCAAGAATGTAAGGATGCACTAAGGCTAAACAATAAAAAGAAGAGTAAATAAAAGTTGAAATTGAAATGATTGAAAAATTCATAAAAAAAAAAAAATTTTCAAAGGAAATTTTACCGAAAGAATTGGGATTTCCTTCCCAATATATTATCCAGTCAGGTCTTGAACGCCATCCTCCTTTATTAACAAAAAATGCGAATTCTATATTTTTTTTGTGAAAAAAAAAAAAGAAATGCCATATAATGAATGAATAAATAAATAAATAAATATAAATAAATAAATAAATAAATAAATAAATAGATAAAATTAACTTACCATCATAACATAATAGGAAATCACCTCCTACTCGATGCAAAGCAATAGGCTTTACATGATTGTTTTTAAAGACAAATTCATGTGACGTATCTTCTGGATCTAGCAAACCTTGTGTCTTTAAATTCTCAAGATCTACTACCTCAAATCCCTTCGCACAACACCCGACACATAATTTCTTCTTAAGAAAGTGTACTGATACCAATTCTGTAGGTATATAGAATTCCTATTTAAATAGTTATTTAATAAATGATTAGAATTGATCGGTTCTTTATTTATATTTCCATATGGATGGATTTCAAGATTATATATAAATATACAGTACCCTATACGTTTTTAATGAGTCGTTTGAACTCCGCAAGAAATTCTTTAGTGGTCCTTTACTTTTACTTTTGGTATTCTGTTCAAGAGGTTCCAAGGTTTTAATAATAGATGCGAGAGCACTATTTTTAACGACAGTTACTAAAGATTTTCCAAGACAAGTTCCGGTCTTGAAAAAACTAACATGTGCCATAATTTTCCTAGAACTTTTTTTTATGACATTGTTCTCATCAGGATTAGGATCCAATGCATCAAGTGTATAAGTATAAAGGGTTTTGTCTGTAAAAATAAATAAGAATATCATTAAAAACCGGAATTTTTTTTTTTTTGTCGAATATTTAAAAATTTGACGTTTTAAAATTATTTTACCAGCCAATAACAACAATAATCGAAATTCTTCTAAAATTTCCATTTGAGTGACTCTTTCAATTTGTAATACTCGAACAGCTTGTTTATTAATTTGACCTATTTCGAGAACGTAGACCCCGGTGTCTGTGCCGAAAGCCAATTTCTGGTGGTTATCTAAAATGAACCAAATTAATAAAATATTCAATAAAAAAAAATATATATATATATAAGTTTATAAGGTTTCTAAAAATATTACTAATCTGCAAATTAGTTCTTACCAAAAAAAGCAGCACAAACAACCTTATTTGCACCAGTGAAAATCTTTCTTTCCAATAAAATCGAATTTTCAAATACTTTTCCCTTTTCATTAAGTATTTCTCTTTGTTTTTCAACAATTTCGATCCACTTTTTACGACTGATGAATGTCGCGGCGTATAATGTAACTGAAAAGCCTTTTTTCCCGAGACAACTAAAAGTAAGTGCGAATTGTTTTTCACGAACTACGACGGGTGCAGCTCGGGTTGGTAAAATTGATGGAGGACGCCTTGCATTTACATTTTTGCCTTCGGTGAGAGCTTCTGAAGTTGAAACTCTTAATAATTCTAAAGGAATTGGCTGTGAAAATAATAATAATGAGTAATAATGAATAATGAATTGAATATCGAATAAATGAATAATAAATAAATTTTTTTTTAAAAAAAAAAATACCCGTCGGAAAATTTTATATTGTTCTATTTTACTAATAATCTTGGTTTTAACCATCAACAATGCATGATCGAGCAAGAATACGTGCAAGTCAGATGATTCACCAGCACCAGTAGATTTTTTTAATGATCCCTTGAAAATAATTTGGCGTCCTTCCTCCGTAAGTTTAAGATCCTAAAAATCCATTGATAAAAAGTAAATACATAGAATACATAAGGAAAATAACATACAAATATATATAGAATAAATAGGAAATTTTTTTTTTCATATTACCGCGGTATCGTTAATTAATTGATCATGTAAATGTTGTAAATTAAATCGATTTTCGGATTTACCGGACTCAATATTAACATTTGTTAAAATTTCTTTTATAATTTTAATAACTTTTGGTATATTTTCTCGATCGGGATGATCTTGGGGAGTATTTTTGAGAACAACCTCCAATAATAATGGATATCGACCAAGGCGTGTTGTGGGTTTTGTAAGATATCCATTTAACTCTAACTTTCTAGATTCCGGACGTCGCTCGGTATCCTAATATAATTTATGAATAAAAAAATTTTTAATGTTGTGTCAATTTTAAAAATATTTTCGGATAAAAAAAAAGAATCAAATAAAACACGTACTTCGACAAATTTTGCGAATAACGGATTAGTACTTTTTTCCTTTTCAAATTCGTATTTTCCCCATAATTGACGAGCCCCATAACTTATGAAAGGTTTAAATGATGGAACATGTTCAAGAAATATATCTCCAATTTCGTTAACAATGGCATAAGAATTTTGACGTTTAATAAGAGCATCAGAAAGTTTGGAATTAACAAGATATATTTCCATGATATTACTGAACACATCTTTGACGAAACTTTCTCGTCGAAATTCTGGAATGAAATTTTGTGATAAAATCTGTGTCATCCAACACTAAAATTTTTTGATATGAGAACAAAAAAAAAATTTAATTTGAAGAATAAATAAATTTAATTTAATTTAAATTTGACTTTGTAATTTAAATAATAGTCGTCGCGACCTACATCTCTAAGATATTCTAAATCTCGAACGAAGTCCTTTTCTGTGTAAATTACTTCGTTTATGGCCTCTTGACGTTTCTTTTCCGTTTCAGAAACCGAATTTGAAATTTCTGGAGGAACCGAATGAATCCATAATTTTCGGTCCTTCATCAATAAAGATACAAATTAATTAATTATTGATGCAATTAATTAATTAATGCATCAATTAATAAGTCAAGAAAATAATATAAATACTTTTGAATCCGTAATAGATCCACGACTGTTTGTTCGTTTAGGTTTCATACTTTTCCTTGCAGTCTAAACATTCGAAAATTTAAAAACTCAATATTAAAAAAACAAGTTTTTTTTTTTTTTTAAGATGTAAAATATATATAAAATTACACACTTGTTCCAATCTCCTAGGACAAGCTATGCTATAACATAAATTGTCCCTAGTACAAGTAGGAGAATAACAATCTGTCAACAATGTAAAAACTCCATTTGGTAAATCACTTTCTTCTATTTCATCAATTTCTTCTTCTTCATCAGTATCGTAACTATCGGAATGTGATAAAATGGATCGCATTTTTCGAAATTGATATAATTCATTAGGTGAATCACGAAGTCGATGATCATAAGTTACATCATGGAAAAATTTTTGTGCATCTAAGGCTCTTCCTAATAATAAAGCCAAATTCCTATCCGTCGTTTTGATGATAAATGCAATTTTATCCTTTAAGAAGAAGAAGAAAAAAAAGGTGAAAGAATTAAATGATAGATTTAAAACAGTAGGAATATTCTTCATGTGGAAAACTACTACCGCGCATATATATATATATATATAAGAGAAAATCATACCACTGCTTCTCTTCCATCAAAACAATCTTTATATTCAACATTATCTTTTATTCTAGTTGATAAAGCAACTCGGACATGGAATGCCTCGGCAACTCGTGAAAGTAAGGCAGGATAAACAATAGGGATTGGTTGTTTTCCCATTGTTGATGAAGGAGATGATGGTGAATTTAATCCATCCGAATTAAGCATTGATGATGTTTCTGATAATGAAAATGAACGTATGCGTTCGGTTCTCTGAGTGTGTATTGGAGGTTTAGGCCTTTCACGAGTACTTTCCGTTGACCTCCGAGTTGGCATATCTTCGGGAATTATTAAATTTGAAACCGTACCTATTTAAAAGTTCATCGATAATATATATATATTAGTGAATTTATTTCTACATATTATTCATGATAATTTTATTAAGCCACTAAATGTGTATTAAATCTATATCTCAAAATTTACAAAAAGAAAAGAAAAGATTGATGCTAAAAAAAGAAATAAATTAAAAATTTGGAAATTAAAATAATATCTAGAGCGTACCAGGCGTAATTGGCGATACTCTCAAGGAAAATGGTGAAAAATTAGTGCCATATTGATTTAAAAGCTGAGGAGATCGCCGACCAGATTTATTAGTAGTAGATTTAGTTGAAGGCCTTGCAGCTAGAGGCTGTATTCGAACTTCATTTTGTGGTATTACTGGTTGAACAGCAATTTGTGGTGCAGAACAATTATTTTGATAATGAGAATATGAATAAATATTATTATTATTTTCGTGTTGTTGGATGTTATGTTGTTGTTGGATGTTATGTTGAATGTTATGTTGAAAATTATATTCTGGTTGATGTGAATATTGAGGATTTTGTGTTTGCATTTGATATGGTTGATGTATATGTATAGTTTCTTGAGGATAATCTAAATTCTCTAAATTCTGTGTAGTAATTTGAGGGAATGATTGTGAAATAGGGCTTTCAGTTTCTCCCTCGAATGAAAATCTTCCCAAAGATAAAGAAGCAGAACTTGTACTAGGGCTATGATAAAATGAAGTAGTATTGGGTTGCATTGGTTGATATTGAGGTGTATCTTGAGAATAATTGGAAGGATAAGTTGAATCAATGTTATTATAGAATGATTTACGTTGAACTTCTTGTCTTTCATTTTGATAAGAATAACTATCGATTAGTGAATCCGCATCAAAAGATTCTCCTCCGGTTGACGTAGACCCAAAAGAGCCCATTCTTTGGTGAGAATTAATAAGGTTTGTTATATTCGAATTTCTGACATTTGAATATTGCCCATCGTCCCACAGCCGTGAATTTACATCATTTGAAGATCTTGGTCCCTTGGGTTTTCCCACTGGTGTTCTATAATAACTATCAATATGGTACGATTGTGTAGGAGTACCATTGTATGGTCGGGGACCATTTTTCTTAGGTTCGTATGAAACCATGTGATGTATGTGATGTAACGTTCAGATGTTTTCTGTAAATTTGAAGCTAACTAATGAGAAGGCTGGAATGATATGCTTATTTAAATCTATTTTCGTAACGATGGGTAAAACTTGGTGAAATTAACAATAACGAATTAAATTAAAGTGTATTCAAAAAACGACATCGTTAGTTTAGGTAGCGTATATGTTTTGAAGAGATACCCGATTCTGTTGATTGAGTAAAATGACTGTCCTCAAGACTGTAGTGTAAGATCGAAATATCACTTTTGTCTTTAAAAATAGATTTCTTAACAAGTGTTACGACCCTTGGTTTCCCTGGTGTGTGCGTATGGAATTATTAAAGTGGCACAGAATTCAAATAAATAAATAAATTTTTGCAAACCGAAAAACGTGACACCATTTTTTTTTTTGGAATCTTTGACATTTTGGTAACGTCATCGGCGTATTTGACATTTAATATATTTGACGACCGTAAATGCCTTTCTAGCTTAAACTGTAGAGCATGCAATTATTTAAATGGCAAGGTGTGGGTTTAAGCCCCACGAAAGGCGTTTACCTGCGACTCCGTAACACGGTCTAAGTGACCGTTGTTACGGGGTCAATGGTAAATTCTCTTTTTCTAAAGAAAACGGATAATCACACGAAATAACTACCAAGATTTTAAAGCCATTCTTACATCTTGGTAATATCTTCAGTACTTATGACTTACAGATTTAAGTATAATTTCATTATGTAATTCACTTTTGGCCAAAACATTCAATATAAAAGATACTAGTATATTTTAAAGATTCTCTTATAAAATTAATTATTTACTTATATTGTAAGAAATTTAATTATTATCCAATTTACATAATAGTAAACTAATTAAAAAAAATTACTTAAAATGTAAATAATTTCAAATGCTATGTTCTGGAAGTATACTGTTTTAGTTAAATATTTGTTTGCGTTGTCAATTGTTGATTGGATAATATTAGGATGATCATCAAATGTTATAGTATAAGAAACGATATAATTTTCTCATTTAATTTTTTTTTTTTATAAAAAAACATGATTTCTTTAAAGTTTCTTTCGCTTTTGATTTTAACGTTCGCCTTACAATGTCAATTAAGTTTGGGACTTTATGCGGATCAAGCTGGAGTAAATGATTGGTTAGTAAAAATATTTAATTATCAATATTATTATCAATTATTATGATTATGACTTATTGTTGGATCGTCAAAATTTTGAATACTGAAATTTCTTATCTTTAAAAAAAATCTTTTCTTATTAGGCACCAACAATATATAGGGACGCCCAAATTTTCATCTTTTCATCGTACTTCTCGAGGTGCCACAATTTTAGCTGCTTCTGAACGAAACGTTATAGCATCTATAAATCCTCGTAACGGAAATATAGGTTAAATATCCATTCTATACCCGCAATTGAGCGCGATTGACCGCGATTGAATGATATAATAAATATATAATTAATATTAAAACGTTTATAATTATTAGAATGGCGTCAAATCTTTGAAAAGGATGAAAATATATTGGCTTTCAAGGGGCATGGAAACAGTAAAATATCAATTTCCCAATTTAATTCATAATTTTTCTTTTTCAAAATCTTTTTCATTTTTTTAATCTACATTATTTTGATATATATATATATATATATATACACTTTTTTTTTAGCTGTTATTTCCGTGACTTCCATACCCCAAGGTGATCAGCTTAATGGATATACTATTCGATTGTGGGATATTCAGACGGGTTTTATGATTTGGGAGAAAAAAATGGATCTTATTAAATCCATTGATACATCAAGAATTGATATTGTCTTTGTGAATAATTCATGTGTCTTGATTTTAATTGGAAGGAATATAATTATAAATTTGGATAGTACGAATGGGAGAGAAATTTGGAGATCAGATATGTCAGACAGGTATTCAAAAAATTTTGACATATAAAAATCAAAACTTTATCCAAAATTTAATTAATATTAATTAATTATGATTATTATTAAATTATTTAAAAAAAAAAAAAGCTCAACAACTTTAAACAAACTTGTCGGATATGAGGATAATTTATATGCTATTGGTCTCAAAAAGTCATCTTATTCATACAACACTATTGAAGTAATTACTTTTAATATTCGATCCGGATTTTTAAAATCCACATCTCTTTCCTCAAAAATTAATCACATTAAAGACATGATGGTTTTGGGTGGTGGAACAAATACGGGATTTATAATTTGGATAGAGAAAAAAGTTATGCGTGTTAATAAATTGGGTACGGATGTAATTGAAGAAGCTTCGTTAGAGGTAACTTGAATCTTGAATGATTATATATTAGAAAAAAATAAAATATATTAAAAAGGAATATTTTGAATATTTATTTATTTATTTTTTATTTTTTTATAAAAAAAAAAAGACACTTTACCGAAGTGTGGTACCTTCATTCGCTGATCATACTGGAGAATTAGAACTTATTGATCTTAATTTAGGTTCAAGAACTGAATTTTTAGCTCAAGTACCAACAAAAAATGGATATTCCGCAGCTGTTTTCAAGGTTGATCCTATAGGTGGACGTCTGCAAGTACTTCATGACTTGGAGAATAGAGTATGATATAGATAAAAAAAAAAAAATAGATATATTTTTTCTTTACAAATTTTGATAACATTTTAATAATTATCATAGGAAGGTGTATCAGTGTATTCTGGCACATTTGATAAAAAAGATCGTTTCATTTTATCTAGAACCAGAACTTTACCTCAGGTATTTATTCTTATTCTTTGTTTACTGGTTGTCGCTTAAATGTTTGATGCTTAAATGCTTATATGTTTTATGCTTATATGAGATCTTATATAAAAAGGATTCAATTGATTTATAAGATATATATATATTATTTCTAATTTGTATTGATTTTTTAGGATACGGTTATAGTTGAAATCATTGCTCCTTCTCTTGGCGAAATATTAAGTATTCACAAAATTCCGCATTCAATTTCTTCGTTTGGAGAAATACAAAAGGCATTTAAAAGAATTTTATTTATTTATATTTATCAAAAAAATTGTGGTTTGAAATTGACAACAAAAAAAAACAATATGTATATATATATATTTTTTTTAATAGTCATCGCTCGAAGTGCTTCTTAAATCGAATAAAGAAAAAGTTCAAGTCGCATATCGTATGTTCGCAGTTTCATCCGATGGATCAACCCATTTTTTTAAAGAAAGTAGTGTTATTTGGCAAAGAGAAGAATCACTTGCACATACGAAAGAAGTTGAATTCCTCGATTTACCCGAGAGAAAATTATGGACACAAGAAGTAGATGAACTTGGTATTAACAAATTTTTACATCTCCATTACTTTGCAATGTTCATTATATTTATTATTTCTTTTTTTTTTAAAAAACATATATATATATATATATTTATTTATTTATTTATTTATTTATTTATTTATTTATTTATTTATTTATTTATTTAGCCGAACAACCTGAAGAATCGGAAACCATTTCACCATTTATTCGTTATTTTCGAAGACTTCGAACTCATTTTGAGCAACTTAAAGTACATATGATTAAAAATTATTGAAAGATTATTAAAAGATTATTATTATTATTATTATTCACTAAATTGTCAATATTTGTCATTATTTGTCAATATACAGGGATTACCTGATTATCTTATTACTTATATTCAAAGATTTGCCACAGGAGATTACAACAAAGATCCAACTCCCGCAAAATTAAGTTTACACCGAGATACATTCGGATTTCGTAAATTATTAATTTTTATCACTCGAAATAAAGTAATTGCATTAGATACCATTAATAAAGGTCAAGTAGTTTGGTCTCGTTATTTTGGTGATGAAGTATTGGAATTTCAAAAAATTTTTGTGGTTCGATCATCTACTGTTAAATTTCCACCAATTGTTGTCGCTATTGGGATACAAAAAAATTTCACGGAAGATTCTAAGGTATTGTATATTGTTATTCGATTCATATACAATATTAACAACAATAATAATAATATACAATAATAATTATAATAATAATAATAATAATATACAATAATAATGATAATAATAATAATATACAATGTTATATATATAATAAAATTTTAATTAATTAATTCTTTCTTTCTTCGTAAAATCAGGGAAGCATTTTAACTCGTCTCTTCCGACTTGACGCACTTACCGGAAATGATTTCATTCTCACTGATGATAACAATGTATCAAATTTCCCACCTACTTTCGATATATCTGGTAAAATTAGAGAAATTTTTAAATTACCTTTAGAAGAATCTGAAGAAAGGACTCATATTTTGGCATTAGTTGACGAAGATTTAAAGGCAAGGTTGATAATACGATTGTTTTCCAATAGTTTTTTTTTATTATTACAACATATTTATTTTCACATCTATTTTGTTTTTTTCTATTGTCTTTCTATTATTATCTATCTATTGTTCTTCCTCTATCGTCGTTGTTGATGTTATAGGTTTCTTTATATCCCAATCATGAAGGAGCAATTAAAGCTTTTGTAAAATTTACACCATCATTTTATTTTGTGTTAACTGATGGCGTTGGTAGCAGCTTTTTGAAAGGATATAATATTGCTGATACAAATGAATATGTAAGTTATTACTCATTAAAAATATTTTCTGTAATATTCTATATATCCCCGAATAATCATTAATTATATATATATATATATATGTATTTTATGAAAAGCCTTACAAAGCTGAAGAAATGTGGGCGATGGAATTTTCCGTCGATGAAAAACTTGCTGCGATTGGACAAAGACCTCATCATGGTTTGTTCTTTAATTTTTTTACTTAATCTTTGAATTAATAAATATTAATGATAATGATGATAATAATAATAACGTCACAATTCAATAGAAAAAGTCGCATCTCTAGGTCGGGTTCTGGGTAATCGCTCGGTTCTATATAAATACATTAATCCTCATATTATTGCTATCGCCACACTTTCACCCTCAACGACGGCAGATGATTTAAATACCTTAAACATCTATCTAATTGATACCGTTAAAGGATCAATATTATATCATGCAATTCATGAAAATGTTGGAGGTTCATCATCATCATCCTCTTCCTCTTCTTCTTCCCAACCTATTCAAATTGTTCAAGTGGAAAATACAATTGTATATCATTTTTGGAAAGATAATCAAATTGAAAAAGGATATGAAATTGTGGTTTATGATTTATATGAAAGTGAACAAGCAAATGAAAGATTTGATAAGTATGTAACTTAGTAATTAATATTTATGATTTTTATCATAATATAATATTTCATTACCAAGTAAATTTAATTTACTCTTTCTTTTTTTTTTTTTTTTTTGTAGATTTAATTTATCTTCATTTTCGTTTGACCGTCCTTACGTAAGTGCTCAATCATTCATGTTCCCTTACGGAATTCGATCTATTGGAGTGACTACCACCAAGAACGGAATTGCCATGAGAGAATTTCTATGTAGGTTTATAAATTTAAATTTAAATTATTTAAATTATGTAAATTTAAAAATTTTATACTATTGTAAATGTTTTAATTTCACATTTTAATAAATTTAATTTTCATCACACACATAATTTAATTAATTTAATTAATTATTAAAAATTAATAATAATATAGTTGCATTAGATACTGATCAAATACTTGGTATACCTAAACGAATACTTGATCCTCGTCGACCCCAAAGAGCATTGACCAATGAAGATAAAGAAGAAATGTTGATTCCTTATGAATCCGCGATACCTGATAATAAAAGATTCATTTTGAGTTATCATTTACCGGTAAAATAATAATTATTTTCTTTTTAGATAGATAAATATTTTAAATTATTTTTATCTTAATCATCATCATATCCTTTAAATATAAATTCCTTTAACATAATTCTTTTATATATATAAATTTATATAGATCGTCGGAATCCGAAAAATTGTAACATCACCCGCATTACTAGAATCGACATCGCTCGTCTTGGCGTACGGTTTGGACTTGTGGTTTACACGTGAAGCACCTTCCAAAACGTTTGATGTATTAAGTGAAGATTTTAGTAAAGGAACATTATTAGCAACGATCCTCGGATTGGTTATTGGAATTCTGATTACTAAACCGATGGTCCGTATCATTATTATTGTTACTTTTGTAGTTATTTTATTTACTTATTTTGTTTATTTAGTTATTTTATTATTATTTTACTTATTTGTTTCATAATATTTATATCTCATAATAATTATAGGTTCGACGAAAGATTCTTAAGTCAAGATGGTATTAACCAAAAAAGAAAATCACATTCGTTACACATCATAAATTATTCATTAAAAAAAATAATAATAATAACTTAAACAATAACTATAAAAAATAAAATCAACAATACAAATAAACAATTAATAAAGTAAATAAAGTTTTGTTATGTGTTACATATGTATGCATTGATATGCATGTATGTATATTTATGTATATTCTCCTCCCCCAAAAAAAAAGTTTGAAAGAACTTTAACATTTGATATCATCATCATTATTTTAAATTAATTTCGTTTTTGTATCGAAACCTTAAAAACGGTATGCTATCACGTGATTATAAATTAAAAGTTTTTTAATATCTCCCACTTTTTTCGCATTTCTTTATTCCCCTCTTTTTAAAAAAAAAAACCAAAAAAACAAAGTGACAATAATAATAAAATAATAAAATTCTAATAATTAATAATCAATAATTAAACAATAACAATAATAATAATAGTAATTTAGATAATAATAATTAATTAATTAAATAATAATAATAATAATAATAATAAATAATAATAATAATAATAATAATAATAATAATAATAATAATAATAATAAATAATTGATATATTAAAAATGCCACCACAAGTTTCAAACGGCGAGACAGACGAATTATTTACAGTAACAGCAGATTATTTACGTAAACGGTTAACACCCGAACTTTCTCAACCCAAAGTAGCAATTATATGTGGGTCTGGTTTAGGAGGGTTGGTTGATACCCTTGAAGAAACGGATAAAGTGGAATTCCTTTATGAAGAAATACCAGGTTTTGTTAGTAGCACGGGTAAAGTAACAATTTAATTTTTTTTTTTTAAATTATTTATTTAATTATTTAATTAAATAATTAAAACGTTATTTATCTTATTATCATATATTATTATGATTATTATTATTATTATCGTTATGGTTATTAATTAAAAAAAAAAATAAAATAAATAATGAACAAATTAAGTTAAAATAATGAATAAATTAAGTTAAAATAATAAATAAATAAAATAATATTTATAATATTAATAATAATAAACTAATTTCCTAGTGCCTGGTCATGCGGGAAAACTTGCATTCGGTTTATTGGGTGAGAATAAGATGCCAACAGTAATTATGGTGGGAAGATTCCATTTTTATGAAGGTTATAACTTGAATCAAATTACATTTCCCATTAGGATATTTAAATTATTAGGAGTGGAAATCTTAATTGGTAAATATCATATATATTTATATATATATGTATTTATTTATTTATTTATTTATTAATTTAGAATATATTTAATAAATGTATCAAAAACCTCTTTTTTTTTTTAGTTACCGGAGCAGCCGGATCACTTAGAGAAGAATTCGCAACAGGTGATATAGGAGTATTATCAGATCACATATCAATACCAGGTTTTAGTGGGATTAATCCTTTAATTGGACCTAATTTAACAACTTTTGGTCCAAGGTTTCCAGCATTATCCGATGCTTATGATTACGATTTAAGAGTTAAAGCATTTAAGGCAGCTAGAAAATTAAATTTTACTACCGGATCAATTAAAGAAGCGATCTATTGTTTCTTGGGAGGTCCCAGCTATGAAACTAGGGCCGAGGCGAGATTCTTAAATTCCATGGGAGGGGATGTGGTAGGGATGTCCACGGTACCCGAGATCATAGTGGCCAAACATTGTGGAATTAAAGTTTTGGGATTAATCTTGGTTACCAATCAAGTCATCCGAAATAAAGCCAAAAGTGCGGATCCCATGGATTATCAACAGATGATGAATTATCAAGATGAAAAACCTGTAAATCATGAAGAAGTTATTGCTTTGGGAGTATTGAAAGCATTGGATATGAAGAATTTGATTAAAACTATAATTGAACTTATTTAATCTTGTAAAAGAATGAATAATTATATAAATATAATTATTTTACTTATAAATAATATATTAATTATAAATCGTGATTAAAAAGAAGATAAAGTATAGATTTTAAACTTTTCTTTTTTAGTATTGTAATTTTAATTTGAAATTATAATAATTAATTAATAAATTAACTTTAATGTAATGTTAAATTAGACTTTTTACACCCAATTTATGCATTAAATAATTAAAAATGATTAGTAATCTTTGTTTATACCAATTTTATATTGTATCTATACCAAATTTATATTGTGTCAATATCTATAGATAGATTTTATAACTACATTTTTACCACAAGGTAAATACTTTTTTTTATTATCCTTATATATTATTTATATTGTTTTATTTTTTTTCTAAATATTGTTTAAAAAAAAAAATTTTTTTTTTATTGTTAATCAAACTATTCTTTAATTATTTTTAATTATTCTCAATTAATATTAGAATTCTTAAATTCTTATACTTAAATGGGTTAGATTTTTTTTATCCAACCCGAGATCCTGGTAATTGAATTAAATGTTGACATTGATGAATTTGTAGAATTTAATCTTATATCTCATGTTTACTTACATGACTTACACAACCTACAATTATATTGACTATTTGGTATTCTATTACCTATTTGGATATAAATTGGTTTTTTTTTTTTTTTAACTAGTACGTACATATTTTTAATACTTAATCGACAATCTTAATTTTTTATTTCGGTTATTACTATTATCTTATTTGTTATTAAATAAAAAAAAATTTTTTTTTTTTTTTTTCGAATATAAATTATCTGGTTATTCCATAAAATTATCAAAAATTTATTTCCAAATTTTTTTTTTTTTTTTTTTTCTTCGAAAAAGATAATAATTTTTTTCATAAAAGAATTAAAAAGATGCCTCCACTTGAACCATTTTCATCACAATCAATGGTTGATTCTAAAGTAGTCACCACTTTCAATGATAATTCTAATATGGACAACAATTATCGGGACAACATTATCAACAACCGTAATAAAGATAATAAAGATAATATAGATAATAAAGATGATAAAGTTGATAAAGATGATAAAAATGATAATGATTATAAAGATGTGTTCACGAAATATGATGTTCCTAAAATTACGGAAATAAGGAAAATAATTCCTAATAAATATTTTCAATCATCAGTTTTAAAATCTTTTCAATTTGTTATTTGGGATTTATCCATTGTTATAATTTTATTCGCTAGTTACTTATATATTGATTCAAATCCCAACATTCCTTTATTTCTTAAAAATTTTGTCGTACTTCCGATTTATACATTTTTTCAAGGAACTATGCTTTGGTCAATTTTCGTTTTAGGTCACGATTGTGGTCATGGAAGTTTCAGTAAATATGGTTTATTAAATGATACCGTGGGAACCTTCCTTCATACATTACTTTTGGTTCCTTACACGAATTGGAAATTGAGTCATCGTCATCATCATAAAAATACTAGTAATATAGATAAGGATGAAGTCTTTTTTCCTTTAAAAAAATCAGAAAAACAAGAAAAAATGCCATCAAGTGAAGTGATACCATATTTTGGATTAGGATTTGGATGGTTGACTTATTTATTAATTGGATATGGACCAAGAGCCTGTTCACATATTAATCCATTTGATCCATTATTTGAAAAACATCGATTAGGTTCAATTATTTCATTAACTAGTGTAATAATAGCTTTATGTTTACTTAGTTATGGATCAATTATTTGGGGAACGATAACAATGATTAAATATTATTTCTTACCATGGTTAGTATTTTCATCATGGTTAGTAATCACGACATTTCTTCATCATCACGGAGCAGAAGAGAATATTAAATTACCCTGGTTCACTAATGAAGAATGGTCATATGTCGTGGGTAATTTATCATCCGTAGATCGAAATTATGGAATTTTACATAACATCACACATAACATTGGGACACATCAAGTTCATCATTTATTCCCAGTTATACCTCATTATTATCTTAAAGAAACCACCAAAATATTTCAAAGTACTTATCCTCAATTTATACGTGAATCAAATGAACCAATCATGAATACTTTCATATCAACTTTTAAACTTTGGAAATCACAATATTTAATTGATGATGATACTAAAATTTTCGTGTATGATAAAAATAGAAAACAGAAATAATCATTTTTAAATAGTATTATTATCTTTATTATTATTATTATAATAAATTTCATTTTAAATATAACGACAATTATCATTTTAATTATTTTAATTATAATATTTTAATTATAATATTTTAATTATTGGTATTATTTTATAATAATAAAAATTATAATAAATATGATAAACATGATAAATAAACAAATAATAAATAATAAATAAATATAATAAATATTAAATATAAATAAATATAATAGATAAATAAATTATAATTAATTTTTTATAGAAATTATAATTATTTACAGTTATTTTTTTTTTTTTAATAATTAATATTTATACTTTTTTTTCTATATAAAATATAAAATATTAAAATATAATTTTGAAAGACTTGTATAATTAATTAATTTATTAATTAAAAAAAATAAAATATTATTGTTTATTATTATTTATTAGTATTGTTTTCGTTGTTGTTGTTTTTGTTGGTTTTTTGTTGTTATGATTATTATTATATCTTTCCTTCTTTATTGCGTTCCCATTTCACTCGAAATCCTCTAAATTAAAGAATAATGAATAATAAATAATATATAATAAATTAATAATAAATAAATGGTAAATAATAAATAGATGACAGATAATAAATAAATAATAAATAATAATAATAATAAATGATAACGTACTTATCGGACCAAAAAACCACATCACTTTGCCAATCCTTATCATCCAATTCCGCCACAAACTTACCAAACTTTTCATTTGTCCATTTATGACTTTCTCGCATGGCCTTTCGAATATATTGGGTAATATCTTCATTCGAAATATTATTCCCTTTGATATCTTTCATATCCACCCCATTAAGTAATATATTCTTGATAAAAATATCATGAAATTTGATGGAATGAAGAATGGATTTTATCACATCATTCGATTCCGCATCTGTGTGATAAAGTATATTAATGGTGTTTGAGTGGGGATGGTAACTTTGTAAATAATTTTCGTTCTAAAATAAATTTTAAAATAATTGTAATAATTGTAATAATAATAAATAATACAATAATTAGAATAAATTATGTGAAGAATAATAATCATAATAATAACAATAAAATAAAATAATATAATATAATATATATGTATTACCCATAATACATCCAAAGAATCCATCATATCTTCAGTTCTTCGAAATGCTTCCGAAGCGGCCACTCCCAATTTGATTTTAACCCCGATCGGACTTTTACCAGGTCGAATCCATTCCCCAAATCCAATTTCTCGATCTTTTAATTCTTCCATCGTGGGAACCTTATCACAATCAATATATTGTCTTGCGATCAATGCTAATTTGGCTTGATTCAAGATTTCAAATTGAGCCGAGTTCAATAAGGCCAATGTGATATAAACATTAAATGGGGCGAAAGCGGTAAAACAAGTGAAAAGGAATGCTGGTTCATGTGACACGGTGATCAATCCTACTCCACATAACATTCTAACAACAAATAATAATAATAAATAATAACAATTAATATTATTAATAATTAGTTGAATTTATATAATATAAATAATATTATATTAGATTATCAATAATATTAGATTATCAATTATTATTATTACTAATAGTTATTAATTAATTATTTACCCAAGCAAATGTGCAAATGACATTTGTGCATCATCTTTGGCCACAACATCACCTACATTACCAGAAAGCTTTTTTTTTTTTTACAGAAAAAAACATTCATTAATTAAATCATAACAATATTAATTATATCAAGCAACAAACAAAACAACAACAACAACAACAACAACAATAATAATAATGTAATAATAATTATATCATTAATCAACCTACAGCAAAATTTCTCACAAATGCCATATGACAAGCACCCAGGATACTATATTGAATACTTTCAAATGCATTACCCAATGAAGCCAAAGGTAAGAAGAATGATGGTCTCACCACGCATGTACATAATTGAAGAAAATATCCTGTGATTGCAAACAATTCACTAATCTACAAAAAAAAAAATTCATAAATAAATGATTCGAAATTATTGAATGATTTAAATAATAAAGTAAAAAGAAACCCACCATCTTCCAAGTTTTAGGATGGGAATCAAATGAATACGCAAATCTTTTAATAAAAAATAATTTTCCTATTTCTCCAAATCCATCTTTAAGTACCCTAATTTTACCATCCTTATAAAATTTAGCTTAATTCATTATTATTGTCGTTGTTGTTGTTATTATTATTATTATTATTATTATTATTATTATTATTATTATCATTATTATCATTATTATTCCATTGTATTTCATTATATCATTAAATAAATAAATAAATAAATGATGATAAAATAAATAAAAAATAATGATCAAAATAAAAGATGATAAAAATGAAATGATACAAAGAAATGATATAATGCAAAGAAATGATATAATACAAAGAAATGATATAATACAAAGAAATGATATAATACAAAGAAATGATATGATAAAAAGGAATGAAAAATTGACAATAAAAATAAAAAATAAAAAATAAAAATAAAAAATAAATAATAAATAATAATAATAATAATAATAATGAATAAATAATAATAATAATAATAAAATAAAATTTACCATTGAATTGCCACTGCACCAGCTGCTGCTTCGGCATGACCTAATCCTAATGATGATAACATAGCTTGACTACAAAGAACTCCTGCCTATAATATAAATAAATAAATAAATATATATATATATTTAAATGTATGTATCGATAAAAATTTGTTTTAGGATTACCGTACCGAAGATCCTATAAAGGTTTCTAGTCCCAACCAAAAATGAAATTTAGCATAACATTCATGAACACTATCCGGATACCTAGATTGTTATTATGATTTTTTGATCAAAAATTAATTAATTAAATCTTAAAAAGAAAAGAATCAAGTACATACAAACATACACATACATACATATACACATACACACACACATATATATATAAAGATTTTACTTACCCCACAGGAAGAAACATGGCACTTAAACTTTGTTTAATACTACCTTTAAAACTAGTTACAGGACCTTTTTCTTCCGGAATTCTTGAAGAAGAAGAGGAAGAAGAAGCTTGAGATTGCCATTGCCAATGTATAGGAGAAGAAGAAGTGGTGGGTGAAGATTTTGAACTGGTGGGTGAATGTGAAGAAGCGGGTGGAAGTGCGGTATAAATACGCGTTCTTCCATATACCAGTTCTTTTAATATGGGTTTACTGTTTTTTTTCGCATTTTGGGAAGTAGTACTATTGAATTCATTACTACTATTGAATTCATTATTACTATTGAATTCATTATTACTATTGAATTCATTACTATTATCACTTTTACTACTTTTACTATTACTGCTATCGTTGTTGTTATTACCGTTATTTTTGTTATTGCTATTATTGCTATTACTATTAGTAGCATTAGTAGCGGTAGTATTATGTCTTCGACAAGTGAAGTAATAATAATTATTGTTTGTGTTAGGTTGTGTCGGTGGTGGTGGAATAATGTTTCGCGTTTGTAAACTTTTTTTATTATCATTTCTAATGAAATAACGATTTATCCAATAACGTTGAAATGATTGTTGTTGTAATGGTGGTTGTAATGGTTGTATTAGGTTACTACTAAAATCTATCCTTTTATAAAGTTTGAATTTAGAAGTGGTGGTGAAAGCAGTGGAAGAGGTTGAGGAGGATATAAAAGGTGAAGACGAAGAAGATAAAGAAGAGGAAAAAGAAGAAGGAAGTGAAGAACGAGAAGAAGAAGAAGCAAGAGAAGAAAGAAGAGAAGAAAGAGGAGAAGAAGAAGAAGAAAGAGAAAAGGAAGAAGAAGAAGCGAAGAAGAAACGATGATTAAAGAATTTATTATAATGAAAAAAAATCATTGGAACAAATAAAAAAAACTTATCTCTATTACTACTATGTATACTAAATTACTTACTAACCTACTCTACCGGGGTTGTACCAAAATTTGATAATTGATAATCAGAAAAGATCTCAGGGGATAAAAAATATCCCACGCCTTTAACTTCCCATACTTTTTTGTTTCTTTCAAAGAGAATTTACTTTTGAATCTTACCAGAATATTAGATCTGTACTAAAAATCGCGATTAACGACTGTATAAATTTATAAATTTGTAAATTTGTAAGCAAATGGATCTGTTTTACCTTTTAATAAACCAATATGAATCGTTTATCTTCTATCTTTAGAAGAGATTATATTCCTACTAGAGTGTCTTATAAAACAAAATCTGGCCCGATTCATCGGGAAGCTCTAAACATATATTATGAAAATATATGTTTAGCAAATGAAATACTCGACCCCCTTCCGGAAAGCATCGAGATCAATAATAATTTACTTGTAGGTAATCTTACAAAAGAAGATCTGTTGTTGGCAAAACTTGGGAGTTCTACTTTGAATAAATTAAATAATGATGATGAAAGAACACTTGCACTGTATCTTAATAAAGTTGTTATAAACGATAATCAAAGTATAGGTGTTCAGAAGACATTTACAGATTCACTTGTCTATTATCTTCTTGCTTAATTAAAATTTACAAAATATCCATTATCAGTGAAGATGCAACCAGACTCTAGCTTTTGCATATTCAAAAAAAAAAAAGTGACTTTCAAGGTTGAATTCAGCATAGTGAAGGATAATACAATTCTTTGTATAGATGAGAATAAACACATATGCTCTTTGAGTCGTTCATCAGAATATGGAGAACCACGAATATCTGTCAAAATTCTAGCATGTGTTGACACCAATTTTGAAAGAGATGACAGTCCTATGGCAGGAGAGAGCCAAATAATCTATGTAACAAGAGTTATTGGAACGAGATTTACATTTTACAAAGTATTTCTATTTAGAATCCCTAAGCAAAGGTTTTTCACCAGATAATTTAACTGTAAAAATATTTCGTTTTCCATCAAATAATAAGATTACATGACATGGTTATGACCATTGATTCGTGATTTATTATATCGTTTAAAAGATTATATGCTCAAGGTATAATCCAATAGTTATCAATGTAATAATTACAATACAATATTAAAAATTAAAATTAATAATTTACTAAAGAAAATTAAGAATGTTATAGTTAAAGTTGAGAAAATATCATAAAAATATAATTTTTAAAAATTTTGAAAATTTATATTACATTAATATTTTCAGAAATTTCTGTAGATATTATGAAAATTTAAAATTTCCTAATGTATAAAAAGAGGTCATATATCTAGATGATGTCCCTAATTATTTTTCCAAGTCCTTAATATTGCATATTTTTGAATAAAATTGATATAAATCCATAAGTCTGTGATAAATTGCAGACTTTTGTATACCAATTTTTCCATTTTTTAGAATCTCCATGTTTCTATTCAAAATAATACTTTTTTTTATTCCAATTGGACATTTCTATATCAAGTTATTAATCAAAACATTTGTTTTATCAGTAGGTAAAATTTTATTATAATTTTTCATATTATATTGAATGATTTCACTAACCTGTAATCCAATTTTTGTGATCTAAAGTTTATTGTTGAGATGAACATTTTGATAGTTGTTTCATTAAAATTGAATATCTCTATACCAAGTTACTAGCAAAACTATTTGTTTAGAAATTCTATTATAATTTTTTGACTTTTAGATTATATGAAGCAATCTTACTAACTTGTAATCTAATTTTTACAATCTATAACTTATTAGATTTCTCTCAATGAACAAACATTTTAGTAGTTGTTTCATCCAAATTGAATATCTCTATACCAAGTTATTAACTAAATAGTTTGTTATTCATAATTAAAATTAAAAATTTTTTACAAATATTTCAAAATTCTAATTTAAATATTTAATATATTTATAATAAATGATACAGTATAACATCAGGAAATTTAATTAAATTTACAGAAATATCACATGACCTCCGGAAATTTACACCTAAAAAATTTAATTTTCAACTTTGGCCAAGATAGATCGAAAGCCCTGGGTTTTGGCTACAAGATAATATATATTTCATTACTATAGCATTAATATTCGTGAAGCAATTCACATTTAAATTCAAATGTCCGTGAATTTCTTCACAAAATCAATGCTATAGTAATGAAACATATATCATCTTGTAGCCAAAACCCAGGGCTTTCAATCTATCTTAGAAATATCTTAGTAGAAAATAGCTCCCTATCACCTAAATCTTGGCCGAAGTTAAAAAATTAAATTTTTTAAATGTAAATTTCTGGAGGTCATGTGATATTTCTGTAAATTTACATCTAATTAAATTTCCTGATAATTAAAACATAATGTAATTATAAAATCAGAAATAATTATTGATAGTTGTTACATATAAAACTTTTTAATCTATAAGTAAATATTAAAAACTGTGATAAGCAAACTTATTATGATTTTTAATATTTACTTATAGATTAAAAAGTTTTATATGTAATAATTATAAATAATTATTTTCAATTGTAAACTTTGATGATCAAACCTATTTCACCTGGTTTATATTCAGACCAGGTGAAACCAGATGAAATCGGGTGAAAAAAAATTTTAAGAAATTATTCAGATATTTGATTTAAGATTATTCAGATATTCAGATGACTTATTGGAACATGATTTCAAGCCTTACCACTGAATATGTCTACTGATTTACAAACAAAAATTTATAATTTTTTGGTTAATGCTGAAGTAGACTATATAACTGCTGGATCAGTTATTTACTAAGCTATAGAAAATAATACTTGATTAAAAAAACACAAGTTAAAGGATATTATAGAACAGATAATATTATTTATTAATAATCAAAATATTTATGGTTCTTCATATTACTCAACACTCCTTGAAATTTTACTTTAGGTACTGTAAGTTATTTAATTTTTATTAATAAATAAATTAATAGTGGAGTTAATATCAAAGCACATATCGAATAATGAATAATATAAATAGTGATACCATTCTAAGTAAAAAATATAATAGTTTAAATATCCTATTAGCCCATTTACAGAAAAATTTCTCAATAGTGTAAAGGTTATTTTAGGCTAGATATATACTTTATTCTATATGGTTAGTTTAATATCACATAAAGTCTTATTTACATATTGAAGTAACTAATCACATAAGAATATAGCTTTATTTATATTCTGATGATGCATATGTTTTTTAGCAAAGCTAATATAGGGTGTTAATAATTGTATTAGTTCAAAATATCTTATAAAACTGTTCATAGTTTATACAACATGGAGCAGTGAAAATGAATGAAGAAAAGCTTCTTAGTTCTAATTAAATCAAAAAGAATATCAAAACACTAAAAGAAAAACTTAAAAAAAATCCTATATAACTTTACCAATATTTATTTTTTAGTATAAATAAAGTATCTATTTCTGAGTTGACCTGGAAGGACCCTTTGGCTAGTTAAGTAATTAGTGACAATTCAGATTTGGTATTAAATTTATTTATACAATTAAGAGACTCTTTTATGGTAGGTATATACATGTTCCTAAAATTGATTTTGGATTTTTGAGGTATTTTGACTTTTTGAGATTTATGCAAAATCTATTCTATATATCATCAGGAAATTTTTAAGGGCAGATAACTCCGTAAGTTTTTGGGATGTAAAATTTCCGTAAATTTTTGCATAAATTTCTGTAAATTTTCGTAAATCTTCGAAATTTTTTGATGTAAAATTTTGCGAAAATTTTTGCAGAAATTTTCAAAATTTTTTTACATCAAAAGATTTCGTTAATTTTTACGGAATA